GCTAGAGGAATTTAATGATGCTTTTATTAAGAGATGCTTCTAATTATTGTTTGATTGCTTATGGGGTTCTAGAGCCTGGTTGTAAGAGAATTTAATATTTGAAACTTTTGTGTTGGATCGTTATGTTTTTTTCCCTTGTGACATATTTCTCCCATTAAATGATGGGCAAGTTGTCTAAATAGAAATGTAGCCGGAATGTATTACTGATTAGCAGGTAATCGCATGTGCCTTGGCCTTGGAGTCCTGGCTGTCACCCAATGGCTACTACTGAAGAATGAATAATGGCTTGCTTTGAAGAATATGAACATAGTATTTTGCTGAATTATCTTTAGGGGCACCTGCTAAAGCATGAAGTACAAACAGAATGACCAAATGTCTGTGCATGCCCCCTTAGTCATGGAGCAAAAACAGAACAATTAAATGTACAGAGGCTTGTGATGTGGCTGGGTAAATAAAAAGGACAGCTTCTTGAGCTGTTGATTGAGGACACCAAGTGACAGTGTCTGTGTCTATTCGCCGACTCCAAGCACTGTTCTCGAGCTCCCAACTCGGCTGGAGCCAGCACCCGGCACATTATTTTCTATAATATTGTGTTACCTGCTTCCTTTTTCAGTACCAAATGCTTCAGGAGAAATTCTGTTTGCCCACAACACCCTCCTGTTAGAGAGAAATTGAAAATGTCTCAGTTGCTTGCAAAGCACGCCAAGCCCTGATCGACCTGGTGTTCCTCCACACAGCCCTGACATGTCGCCATTTGATGGTGACTCCTCACTGAGAAAGAATCAAGGTGTACTTTGTACTAGCTGTGCTGTAACTGAAATTCTGCTTTGGAGTATTCCATAACCTGTTGGTTCCAACAGCTGAACTGACAGCTCTGTTAAAATGACATCTGGCCGGAGAATTAGGAATTAACACACACTGCTGGATGTGAGCACATCGTGCTAATCGAGGGGTTTCCCAGTTTCCTCATGCCTGCATTCCACTCAGCATGGCTGAGTCTGAGTTCCTACTTCATTGAACCACCAGTGATTCCTTACTGAAGATAAAGTTTCAATTCTTACCATGGCATAAGTTGTCCACAATCAATCCCTGTCTTTGTTGTGTCTGAGCCAAATCACATGTAACCTTTTGCTTGCTCTACAATCCCACCTTTCCTCACAGCTCACTTCAGCTTCCTTTCTCCTATCAGCTTTGTATCTGCAAGAATTCTGGTCAGAAAGTGAAAGCAAACTCTTGCTGCACCCTTTGTTCTATTAACTATTGCGGTTATTACACCATATAGCACAGCACTGCATTTATCTACTGATTCAGTTAGACTATGAACACCTTTAAGAGTAGGAAAAAACTTCATCCATGGTACCTAGTGTCAGCAGGAGGTACTTAGTGTCAAACAGATGAGTCTGACTTCTACAATACCTTCTGAAATTGACTCTTGCTTTCCTTTGCCACTTTGAAAGTTGAAGTCCCTTCTACTTGTCCACTTACATGTCTTTCTGCCTCTTATCAATTTTCCAAGTGTCCTTTCTAACGTCACCTAAAGTCTGCTTATGTCCTACTTACTCTCAGAAACTGCCTATGGGCCAAGCATTTCGCACAGCAGCTATGATGTGGGCTAAGGGGTTAGCGCTGTGACACAGCAAGTTCAGCCAATGCTTGTGACAAGAGCATCCCATAAGGACACTCGTTCAATTAGGCCACTCCACTTACAGCACAGCTCCCTGCTAATGCACTTGGAAAAGTAACAGAAGATGGTGTGGGCCCGAATGTTGTGGCCATTTGGAAAGTGAACCAGTGGATGGAAGATCCATTTCCCTCCTCTTTGTAACTTAGCCTTAAAAGAAAAAAAGAAAAGAAACTGCAGGTTGACTGACACCCCACATCAGTCCCTAATTCGAAATTCCTGGTAGAATTAATGTGAACCCTGCATGGCAGAGTTATGGCTCAAATGGCTATGTTCTTAATAAGCCACTTGAGATCTGGGTTGAGTTCCCAGCACCCTGCTTCAGGACCAACCCAATGAATGGGAGCACTTTCTAAAAAAATTCTACCAACAAAAACATGGGTGGGGAGAGAAGAGATAAATATGGAGAGGGGAAGAAAGGAAATAAAAAGAAAGCCCATGGGCCCAGTGCAGTGGCCTAGTGGCTAAAGTCCTCACCTTTCACATGCCAGGATCCCATACAGGCAATGGCTACTAATCCCCGCAGAACTACTTCCCATCCAGCTCCCTGTTTGTGGCCTGGGAAGGCAGTCAAGGACAGCCCAAAGCCTTGGGACCCTGCACCCACATGGTAGACCTGCAAGAAGCTCCTGGCTCCTGGCTTTGGATCGGCTCAGCTCCAGCTGTTGTGGCCATTTGAGTGAATCATCAAAGTGGCAAAGGAAAAATGGAAGATCTTCTCTGTCTCTCCTCCTCTCTGACTTCCCAATAAAAATAAATAAATATTTTTTAAAAATAAAAAAGAAACCCCGTACTGCTGTTAGCCCTTTCCTTGCTTCCATGTTACAGACTGATTTCCCAGAAACAGCTCAGCTCCATTCTAATTACAAAATCAGGATGGACCTGGGGCATGCACCCAGCTAGCCTCCAATGAAATTTCTTCATTCATCATTGAATGAAGCTGGCTTATTAGCACTAGATATCCCTCCAAATAACACTAAGAATTACAGTCACTAAACTATTGACATTTAATGGAACTCCATTTCATAACTCAATTATACAATAATGTACAAATACACAGCAGGGTGGTTGTGAGCAAGAGAGGAATGACACTAAGGTAGAAAACTGCCTACAAAGCTTAAAGGCAATTCTAAAACTGACAAAAGCTCAATCTATTTTTTGTCAGATACTAGTCAACTCTCCACTTCATTAGCAATGAAACTTCCAGGCCAGGTTGGACTGCGGCCACCAACACCACCCAACGGTGAGCCCCTGCTATCCAGGCATCCTTACCCATCCCAACACAGAATCAGTCACCTCTTCCAAAGCCCTCTATGCATATCTGAATCTCCTGTAACTCCACAGGCACATTTAACAGAGCTTTCACTCCTAGTCCATATCTATAGACTTTTTTTTTTAAGATTTATTTTTATTATTTTTTTATTGGAAAGGCGGATATACAGACAGGAGAGACAGAGAGGAAGATCTTCCGTCCGATGATTCACTCCCCAAGTGAGCGCAACGGGCCGATGCTATGCCGATCCGAAGCCAGGAGCCTCTTCTGGGTCTCCCATGCGGGTGCAGGATCCCAAAGCTTTGGGCTGTCCTCAACTGCTCTCCTGGGCCACAGGCAGGGAGCTGGAAGGGAAGTGGGGCTGCCGGGATAGAACCAGCGCCCATATGGGATCCCAGGTGTGCAAGGCGAGGAGGACCTTAACCACTTGTGCCACCGTGCTGGGCCCCATATCTATAGATTTTTAAAGATTTGAAAGGAGCTTTCACATAGAGAAGGACAGAGATGGAGAGAGATTCTATCTGCTGGTTAACTCCAACCAGCCCTACTACATGTGTACAAGAGGATCAAGGACCTGAGCCATTCTCTGCTGCCTTCCCAGGGACATCAACAAGGAGCTAGACTGGAACTGGAGCACCCGGGACATAAACTAGCACTTACATTGGATGCCTGAGCCTCAGGCTATGGCTTAACCCACTGCACCACAACACTAGCTGCCCTAAGTGAAGTCCTAACAGGTGAAATATGCCAAGTCCCCAGTTACACCATATTGTTAAGATAAATCAATATGCCTTGTACTAAGCCTGGACCACACTAATGCACAGAATATAACCTCAGATGCCAAAGTTGGTACTCAAAGAATGCCATCTGGATACAATTTCATTCCTACGACTTAGTACCTTACTCAAACCAACTTGGTATTTTGATCTATTGCATCTAAGTATTTTTTTTATATAATAGCACTTTCCAGCTGACTTATCTGTTAAGACTCAAAAGAAAATTTTAATTGAGTTTCTTAAGATTTACTTATTTTTGTACTGGAAAGTCAGATTTAGAGAGGACAGAGAGAAAAGATCTTCTGTCCACTGGTTCACTGCCCAAGTGGCCACAATGGCCTGAGCTGAGCTGACCTGAAGCCAGGAACCAGCAGCTTCTTCCAGGTCTCCCACACAGGTGTGTGGACCCAAGGCTATGGACTGTCCTCGACTGCTTTCCCAGACCACAAGCAGGGAGCTGGAAAGAAAGTGGAGCAGCTAGGACACAAACTGACAGCCACATGGGATCCTGGCACATGCAAGGTGAGGCCGTTAGCCACTACGCTACCACACTTGACCCAACTCAATTCAGTTTTAAAACTGTGGCTACAATAGACACTTAAATCTTTTTGTAAACTTTTTTTTTTTGGAAAAGCAGATCTACAAAGAGAAGGAGAGACAGAGAAAGCTCTTCCATCTGCTGGTTCGTTCTCCAAATGGCTGAAACAGCTGGAGCTGAGTCAATCCAAAACCAAGAGCCAGGAGCTTCCTCCAGGTCTCCCACACTGGTGCTGGGTCCCAAAGGCTTTGGGCCACCCTTGACCGCTTTCCCAGGCCACAAGCAGGGAGTTACATGGAAGTGAAGCAGTTGGGACAGGGATTAGTAACCATGAGATCCTGGTGCCTGGAAGAGGAGGATTACCCAGGTGAGCCATTGTGCCAGGCCTGATAATTTTTTAAAAAAACAATGTATTTATTTTTCATGAGAGAGAGTTATCTTTCATCTGCTGGTTCACTCTTCAAACAGTGGCAATGGCTGCAGCTGAGCCAGTGCAAAGCCAGGAACCCAGAGCCCATAGCTACTTACAGGTCTTGGGCCATCCTCCACTGCTTTCACGGGTGCTTAAGCAGGGAGCTGGATCACAAGTGGGGCTGCAGGGCTCCAACCAGGGGACATAAGAGATGCTGATGCCAAAGGTGGTGACTTTATCTGCTGTGCCACAACACTAGCCCCAAAAGATACTTTTCTAATTAATGAACAAAGAAAGCAACTGCATTAAAAAAAAGAACACACTTTTTATTATGTATTTTATTAGTTAAAAATTTTTTTCAAATATGCACTTTCTCAAGATTGACATGGTAAAAACAATTACAGCTTTGTATTTATTTTAGGACAAGTCAAACATATGTGAGCATTCAGTCTCAGCTTAGAATCTGAAGTATTTTAATGCATCTCGGGGGACTTCTTCCCTAGTGGAAACTCTCTACTTGCAGTCCTCCAAGCGCTTCTTCATAGGATTTAGAAATCTGTAATGTGCGTTCTCAGCATTTCCTAACCACAGGTTTCCCTGGGACATGTAACCCAGGTAAGCCACCTGTAGCTGCTATCACTAAGAAGGAAGTTTCAAACATTCAACAGCCTAATTTTCCACAGTCTTTACTCATGAATTAACAGTCTTTCCCTTTGCCCATTATTCCTGGGATAAATATAAAGAGTTTGATCCTGTATTAATAGCAGTAAAGCTCAGTTCCCTTTAAGAGATTGACAAATTAAAAGGCAAAAGCTTACAGACAATGCTTAATTATTCTGTGAGTCTCATGAGAAGCCGGGTGACAACTCACCAGAATACAGAACTCAGCCTCACAACTGATTAGATCCACTTCTTCTCAAGTCTTTTTCTCAGTAAGTAAATTCTGAAAAAACCATGTGATTGAAACAAGAAGTTTATACACCATGGCCTTAACCTATTACTTCCTCCTTTTGGTGAGCTGAATGCGTGACGGAGCAGAGGCCTACAATCAATTCTTAAGGCAGTAAGTTGGGACGATCAAAGCTTCCACAGCATGGCAACGGCCTTGCAGATGCCCACATCATGATAGTTGAAATAACAAAGCCCAGCAAAGGTTAAAGCTGAGAGAGCCAGCAGGCCCGCCTTGGCAGCTTTCTGTGGTGCATCCCCATGAACATAGTCAGTAACAACTTGTCCCAGGCCCCTAAACAGAAAACAAACAAAAATCACAAGTTAGCAGGCTACACACAAAAAAAGGAATGCCACCACTGTCCCCGTCTATCCCTCTAACTGCCTGCTTCCTCAGGGAACTCGGCACAGCTGCTTACAGATGGAACTATTTCTACACTTTTTGGGAGATGGTAAACCACAGGAACTCAGAGTCACAATCACCAACGACAATGAAGGAATCCATTATTTACCGTAATGTAAAAATATCTTCCACACTCTTCAGATTCAATTTTTCAGTCACTTATTCAGATAGTAATTGCTGATTTGATTATAAAATGTGATTGTTTTCAATCAAATTAAATCTCCTACAGTGTTCTTTAACTTTACAAGAATGTACTGAGCAGATAATAAGAGTCAGAATCTATCATAAATGTTTGGAGTACAGTAAGATGTCATTTTTGCCCTTATGGAACAAACGATGCAGAAAGAAAGAAATACACATACACTATGAAGACATAGCTTTTTTTTGCTTGTTTTTAAAGATTTATTTATTTTTACTGGAAAGACAAATTTAAAAAGAAGGAGAGACAAAGAGAAGGACCTTCAGTCTGGTGGTTCACTCCCTAAGTGGCCACAACAGCTGGAGCTGAGCCCATCTGAAGCCAGGAGCCAGGAGCTTCTTCTGGGTATCCCACATGGGTGCAGGGTCCCAAGACTCTGAACCATCCCAGGCCACAAGCAGAGAGCTGGATGGGAAGTAGAGCAGCTGGAATAGGAACCAGCACTCATAAGGGATCCCAGTCCATGCAAGGCAAGGACTTCAGCTACCACAACAGGTAGTTTTAAAAGGATGACAAAAGAAAGGCCACTTCAAATAAGTGACACACCCCGTTTCAGAAGGCTTAGGTCTGAGTTCCTGGTTCTGCTTCTGACTACAGATAACTTTATGTTAACGCACACCCAAAAAGCAGTAGTGATGGCTCCCGTAGTTGAGTCCTTGTAACCCACTCCAGAGATTTCCAGGCTTCTGGCTTCAGCCTGGCTCAGCTCCAGGTGCTTCAAGCATTTGAGTGCCTAGTGGATGGAAGATTCCTCTCCGTGGCCTTGTCTTTGAAATAAATAAACTTAACTGGCGCAGCAGTTAAGACAACACTTGGGATTCTTGTATCTCATATCACAGTGCCTGTGTTCAAGCCACAGTCCCACTTCCAAAGCAACTTCCTGCTACTGGCTCCCTCAGAGACAGCCGGGATTACTCATGCACGAGAGTCCCTGCCACTCACGTGGGAGACCTAGCTGGAGTTCCTGGCTCCCGGGCATTTAACCAGCAGATGGAAGAGTTCTGCCTCTATGTCTCGCTGCATTCAAAATAAATTAGGTATTGGGTCCTGTGTGGTGGCCTGGTGGCTAAAGTCCTGACCTTGAATGCTCCAGGATCCCATATGGGCACCGGTTCTAATCCCGGCGGCCCCACTCCCCATCCAGCTCCCTGCTTGTGGCCTGGGAAAGCAGTCGAGGACAGCCCAAAGCTTTGGGACCCTGTACCTGCGTGGGAGACCTGGAAGAGCTCCTGGCTACTGGTTTTGGATCGGTGCAGCACTAGCCGTTGTGGTCATTTGGGCAGTGAATTAACAGATGGAAGATCTTCTCTGTCTCTCCTCCACTCTGTATGCTTTTGCATTAAAATATTATCTTTTTTTTTTTTTTTTTTAAAGACTGAGTAACAAAGAGTGAAGGAGAGACAGGGTGAAAGACAGATCCACTGTTTCACTGCCCAAATGGCCACAATGTCTGGAGCTGACCCAGTCTGAAGCCAAGAACCAGGAGTTTCTTCCAGTTCTCCCACTCAGGGTCCCAAGGTTTTGGGCCGTCCTTAACTGCTTTCCCAGACAGCAAGCAGGGAGCTGGATGGGAAGCAGGGCTACTGGGACACAAACTGGCACCCACATGGAATCCTGGTGTGTGCCAAGGCTAGGACTTTAGCCACTAGGCTACCATGCTGGGGCCCTCACTGACATGTTTTAAGGAGGGAATATCCTCAGTAAGAAGTGACTAATTTTACTATTTTCTGTAGCAATTTTCTTAAGCTATAAGACATACACCATAAAATTTACCTTTGTGAGTGTAAAATTGACTATTTTAACCACAGATTTTTCCAACTAATGCCACTATTTTAATTCCATAACATAGTCACCACTCCAAGAAGTCACCCGCTCATTTCCCAAAAGACTAAATCTCCTACCCAGCCCCAGAAAAACTAGGTAAGATCCTGTCTGTTAGAAAATCCTAGGGCCCGGCACAGTAGTCCAGCAGCTAAAGTCCTAGCCTTGCATGCACTGGGATCCCATGTGGGCACCGGTTCTAGCAGCCCTGCTCCCCATCCAGCTCCCTGCTTGTGGCCTGGGAAAGCAGTTGAGGATCGTCCAAAGTTTTGGGACCCTGCACCCACATGGGAGACCTGGAAGAGGTTCTGGGATCCTGGCTTCAAATCGGAGCAGCTCTGGCCATTGAGGCTGCTTGGAGAATAAATCACTGGATGGAGGATCTTCCTCTCTGTCTCTCCTCTCTGTATATCTGACTTTCCAATAAAAATAAATAAATGCAAAGAACATACATAACAGATCCTCAGTTAAAAAAAAAAAAAGAAAATTATTCTAACAAGTCACTTAATTTTTCCTAAGTTCAGTGTCCATAGTAAAATGAGATGAATGGATGAGATACCACCAAGTCTTTCCAGTTAGAACAATCCAAAAACCTCTCCCTGCAATATCCTATTTTCCTCCCAAAATCATATAAAAAGCCCAACTTGTTATTTACACTCCTTTTAGAATTCTCATTGCCTTGGGAAGTCTAAAACTATACCAGATACAATAAATGGAAGCAGTGTCTTAATGTATATTCTTGGCATTAGACAGCAGTAATTAAACAGTAAAATAAAAAGCATAAAACAATCATTTTTTTTTTTCCTTCAACATAGGGCAACACAAAACTACATGATCTAGAAACACACAATTGAGTAACAGAAGTATGACACAGGCCTAGTGTGGTAGCCTAGCAGCTAAAGTCCTCTCCTTGCACATGTCAGGATCCCATATGGGCACTGGTTCATATCCTGGCAGCCCCACTTCCTATCTAGCTCCCTGCTTGTGGCCAGCGAAAGCAGTCAAGGACGGCCCAAAGCCTAGGAACCCTGCACCCATGTGGGAGACCAGGAAGAAGCTCCTGGTTCCTGGCTTCAGATGGGCTGAGCACCAGTCATTGCAGCCACTTGGGGAGTAAACCATCGGGCAGAAGATCTTCCTCTCTCTCTTCCTCTGTGTATATCTGAATTTCCAATAAAAAGAAATTTAAAGAGTATGACACAATGCAAGAAGTGACAAATATAAAAGGATTACAGTTCCTTGTAGGGAGTGGAGTGGGCAGCTATGATTGAAATGAACACAAGGAGGTTTCTGGAACTGTTTTATTTTTTTGACTTGGGTAGGATTTCCTAATGCTCTAGTTTGGTTATGATTTAAATGTGTCCTAAAGCTTTGTAAGCTAGAAGTTTGGTCTTTAGTGAAGAGAGACAGATAACCATTAAGAGGCGGATCAGAGGGCTATTTATAGCATCCTGAGTAAAGCTCCCACCTACGATACCAGCACCTCCATGTGATGTGGGGACGTCCCGCCTGCTTCACTTCCTATCCCACTCCCTGCTAATGTTCACACACCCACGTGCGAGTCCCAGAAGAAGCTCCTGACTTCAGATTAGCCCATCTCTAGCCATTTGGAGAGTGAATCACCAAATGGAAGGCATCTCTGTAGAATCTGTATTTCAAATTAAAGGGGGCAAGAGGATGGCAGAGTAGCATATCAGGCTAACCCTCTCCTCCTGCAGGCCAGCATCTGATATTGGTGCCAGTTCATATCCAAGCTGCTCCAATTCCAATCCAGCTTCCTGCTAATGGCCCAGGGAAGCAGCAGATGCTGGCTCAGGTCCTTAGGTCCCTGTACCCATATGAGACACCCAGGAGAGGCTCTTGGCTCCTGACTCCTGGTTTCAGATCAGCTTAGCTCTGTCCATTATAGTCATTTTGGGAGTAAACCAATAGATGGGAGATTTCTGGTCTTCCCGTATCTACTTGTAAAATCTGCCTTTCAAATAAAAATAAATAAATCTAAAAAGAAAAAAAAAATCAGAGAGATCTAGTTGAATAAGACAAATGGAGATCGTGCCTTTGGAAAGGATTAACGCCAACCTCTTGAGAGCCTACTTAGTTCCATGAGGACAAGCTGCTATAAAAACAGAAGCCTGGCCTCTGAATCATTCTCACCACATAATCCCTGTTTTGCATGCCCTCTCACTGTGCTACTGCTCACCATGCAAGAACACAGCCAGAAAGCCCTCCCAGAGCTGAGCACAAGCTGGCCTTATGGTCTTGGACCACCACAACTTGAGTTCAATCAATTCCCTTTCTTGAAAATCTACCTGGAGGGTCTATTTTGTTATAAAAGAAAATTACTTGACTAACAGACTCTTATTCATTAGCCCCAAATTTGATTCTTGCTACTTTTCTCTACTGGTACTTTTATTCTAGAGGTGAGGGGAATTAGAAAATGTCAAACAGCATACAAAAATAGTAGACCATGTAGTAATCAGATTAGAAAGTTGTAAGTATTACCAAGAAAAATTATTAGAAGTATCAAAAAGGATAATGCAGATTTAATGGGTTAAAGGAAGTCTGGTTGAGAGGGCAACATTTAAAATGAGAAGATGAGGGAAGAAGTTAGAAAGTCACTAGAAAAACGGTGTCTCAGGCAACAAGAGAAGAGCCCTGACTCTGCTGAAGAATGCAGGACAGAACAGCTAGAGATGAGGAAGACACGGGGGCAGTCGGGGAACACAGAGCCTATGGACCACTGCAATTCTTCTTCTACATACAGTTGAAAAAACAAAGATGAATTTTAAGAGATCTTATCTTTAAGGGCTACTGTGTGAGATACAGAAACAAAGACGGCCAGTCAGGAGACTACTAACAGAGTCCAGAGTGATGACTAGGTTTGAGTCTTGAACAAATGGGAGAATGCATTCATTTAACTGGGCAAGAATGCAGAAGCTAAGATTTGGGAGCAATCATGAACTGAATTTTACCAGGGCTATATCAGAAATGAAAATAAAGACATCATATAGGCAAATGGACAGATAAATTTGGGTATGTAGGCATTTCATATACGTTTATAAATGTCCTATGGATGTTAAGTATTTCAATCAACTCCGCTTCATTTGTAATACATGAGCCAAACTCAAAGTAAACTAGACAGACAAGGTAACACCAAAGGGCTGCTGTACTTGCCAGTGACTGTGGAGCGTGAGCACTGCAGCCAAGGAGTAGTCCATCGCGGAGCACGGATTCAGATAAGCAGCTGGAAGCAAACCCAGGAGCAAAACACTGACAACTCTCTCACCAGTCCAGTGGAGGGACGCAGCCTTGGAACCAGCTACAAAAAGAACCAGACTCATGAGAGCTGAAGGAGACACATCTCTCACCTTCAACACTGGCCACAGAACTGCCCAAACTGGTACAATGGCTAACAACACACCTGTAAGATTTAACTCTGAGCATAAAGTAAACTGACAGACGCTTTCCTTCTTCAAAGTGTTAGCACAGTGTCTGTTGCAGTCTGCTTGTACTGACCGGAAGACAGCCACTTTGCTTACAGGCAAATAGGTACAGAAACAGCTTTACAGAATTAAGCCAGTCTTGGACTTCAGTAAAATGGGTTAACTATCTGATAGAATAAGTGACATCTGCTGAAATATTAAACAATACTTACTGGGGTGGGCATTTGGTGGTGTAAAGATGTCATTTAAGAAGGCCACACCCCACTTTGGAGTACCTGGGTCCTATACTATACCCTATACTATACCCACTCCTGGTTGCTCCAGATTAGATTTACGTATTCACACCCTGGGAGGTATTGGTGATGGTTCAAGTATGTGGGTTCCTGCCTCTTACATGCAAGACCTGGACTGAGTTCCTAGCTTTTGCTTTGGCATGTAGAAAGAGAACCACTAGATAGGAGCACACACTGTTTGTTTCAAAAAAAAAAAAAAAAAAAGGGTATTAGGAAGAGAAAAAAACAGGGTCCAGCACGGTAGCCTAGCAGCTAAAGTCACTGCCTAGCATGCACCAGGATCCCCATATGGGTGTGGTTCTAATGCTGGCAGCCCCACTTCCTAACCAGCTCCCTGCTTGTTGCCTGGGAAAGCAGTCAAGGGCAGCCCAAAGCCTTGGGACACTGTTCCCATATGACAAACCTGGAAGAAGCTACCAGTTCCTGAATTCAGATCAGCTCAGCCCTGGCCTTTGCAGCCGCTTTGAGGAGTCAATCTGCGAATGGAAGATCTTTCTGTCTTTCTCTGTAAATCTGCCTTCCCAACAAAAACAAATAAACCTTAAAAAAAAGAAAGAAAGAAAAGAAAACATGGACTATCCTTGCAGTAACTCACTTTTTTTCCCCCCCATTTAAAGGCAGAGTTACAGAGAAGGTGAGACAGAGCTTTTCCATCCACTGTTTTACCCCTCAAATGGCCGCACCAGAGTGAGCCAATCCCAAGCCAGGAGCCAGGACATTCTTCCATAACACACACACACACACACACACAACCCTAGGAACTCCAATTCAGCCCCACATGCTGTGGCAAATCTGCTACATTTAAGTAATACGGGACGAAGAATCCAGAAAGAAAAATTGTTCATGGAAAGCTCTAACGAGCAGAGATAAAGGATATCTAACTGACCTGTCAGAATTCAGATGCAACTAGCAGACAGTAGTCTGATCTCCACACACATCTGCACATGTTCTTTCTCTCCTTCGTGTTGAGAAGCAGAGAGAAGAAAGGCATGAAGCAGGGAGACATCCTACCCGCAAACGCCTGCAGTGGCCATCCGTCACCTACAAATTTTCTAAGACTAATTTGAATAAAATCCAAATGGTACTCACTTAGGAAATGACTCAGAGCTTCAAACTCAAATTACAAGAATAATTTACAGTAAATACTCATGATGCAGTCCATAAGAAATGATTTCTTTTAATTATTATATTAGCCAGATAATATCTGGCCCTTTTCCACGAACTGAACAAAAGAGATTCAACTACACCAAGCTGTTTAAAAAAAGCTTAAATAGAACTGTTAGGACTCAGATCAGAAATTCTTCATGAACATAAGTGACATCTTTCACCCACACTGGTTTTCCTTTGACAGAGCTGGACACAAGAGCTCCCCCCACAGAAATCCAGGCCTGCCACAGGCCTAACAATGAATCCAGGTGAAGAAAGACTGCAGCCCAGAGAACACACCATGGCGACTTGGTGACAGGTGGATGTGCTGCACTCCACAGCATCCCGGGAAAGGTCGGTCCTGCAGAAATGCTGAGGCGTGAGCAGGTCTCACCACCAGGCTTCGGAGGAACACAGCTGAGGAAACAGGTATTGGGAGCATAATTTAAGCACCTCTCCTTTAACAGAACTGACAGACTTTTTAAATGACCACAGCAAGACCCTTAACCCTAAAATAAGACATAACACCTCACCTATAAAACAAAAACAGCACCTATTTCATTATACTACCGTAAAGTCAGACAAATATAAATCAATGAATTACTTATGCAAAAGAGCCTCACATTGGGGGCTGGTGTTGTGCTGTAGTTAAGCCACCACCTGCAATGCTGGTATCACATACAAGCACCTGTTTGTGTCTGGCTGCTCCAGTTTCCATCCAGCTCCCTGTTGAAGCACCTGGAAAAGGTGCAGAGGTTGGCACAAATTTTGGACCCCTCCACCCACATGTGAAAGCAGGATGAAGCTCCTGGGTCAGGCTGAGCCACTGTGGCCATCTGGGGAGTGAACCAGCAGATGCAAGGTGTCTCTGTTTCTCCCTTGCTCTTTGTGACTCTTTCAAATAAACAGATTAAATAACTGTTGGTTTCTTTCTTTTTCAATGTATTCATCTATCCATCCAACAAAGTCTTTGCTGCCAAGAAATATAAGCTACTTTATGAATCTCAACTACGACCTCCTAAGACTCATTCTCCGTTTGTACTCCTGAACCCGTTTCCCCTGTTTGCTTTCACTTCCTCTTTGTTTATAGACCCAAATAACCCAGCTGAACCATTTATTAGCTGTGAGAAGGTTAGCACCTAAGTTAATTAAGCTAAGCTTCCATTTCCTCATCTGTAAAAGGAGAAAAGCATTACTTTATAACTATAGTCGAAAATTTTAAAAATATATACAATGGGCTTATTAGCATAGGTGTCAGATTATAACAGGCACTCCAAAGAAGGTACCTACTAATATTTTTCTTCAACCTCTGCTTTAACTTCTGGCCATTTTCCCTCAACTGATGCAATATACTTAACCACTCCTTCCACCTCACGTCCTTTAACTTAACACCCGTGCACCGTTTTCCACACCCATTTGGTAGGTAACCCATAATCCACCTCAGGCCATACCCAACAGGCCTTGCTCAATCTTAATCTCAACAGGGCTTTCTGCATCCCCTGGCATTAGTAAGCCTCTCCCTTCTTTTCTCTGAAACTCTTCCAGTCTCCTGATTCTCAACTCACCCTGCATCAGTCTCTTCCAAGCTCCACTCTCAAATGTTGGGTTTGAACAACTGCTTGCTGCCTCCCTCACTCCCTATGGCCACTGCAGGGCACTTCTTCCACCCATGAGCTCATCTACTGCTAAGAAGTGAAAACGCTAAACTCTATCTCCGATTCTGCACGTTCTCCAGCACTTCAGATGTCTAACCATCTACTTGCCTTCCCACCGACACCTCCATGTCCTAGAACATGAAATCACCCTCCCCAATTCCCTTTTCTCATTCCAACTTGTACCTGACTTGACTTGTATGGTCCCCACCTTATTTAATGAACCCACAGGTCTGGAAATCACTTAGCCCTTTTCCTCTGAATTCAATTATTCAGACCTACTGATATAGCTCCTTGATATTTCCTGAGATAATTTTTTTAAATTACTCTTCAAGTTCAGGGCCTCACCCCTCTAGACTACACCAGTGTCCTAAGTCACCTCCCCTAGTGTGGCTTGACAGGCTCATTTCCCCGGTAGATGACCCTCTACCGCAGTGACTGTCCGCGAGCATCTGTCACCTCCTCCCTGCAATCCTCTTGAGCGGCTACCCTTGACACACGGGGCAAAGCCCACTCTCTAGAGAGCTGTGTTCTCCCGTGATCCGGCCCCACTACCTTCCTCTCTCCTCACCTTCATGCTCTCATGGTTCTCAATTCATTTTGCTTTTCTTCACGCTACCCCTTTGCTATGCCCTCGCCATCGCTTGAGCCCATCCCAGCAGCTCTAACGGCAAAGGCCTTCTTTCCCTCTCCTTAGGCATACTTCCAAAACAGAGCTACAAATAAACTTTGTCTGCACTCTCCTTAAAACGTTACGTACAGCTCAACAGGTACTTCTTGGGATTCAAGGACGCTTCCTTACACTTGCCCTGTGAGAAGTGTTCACACATTTATCCCAGCCTCACAACAGTATCTACAATCCCACAACAACTGCGGCGCTCAGTCAGACCCAACTCAAGGGGACAGACACAAGCCCAAGCTGTGGGTCGAACCTCGGCCGGCCCGAAGGGCGCAAGGGCGAACTCTGGGGCGGTCACCCTGCGGGTCGGGCGGCTGGCTGCAGGCAGCTCTCCCTCCCCCGGGGGCATCTCACCGCCCAGCAGGCGACTGCTCAGCCGCATCCCCCTCCCCGGCTGGAGGCGGCGTGGAACACAAGGGCCCCTCACCTCGGCCTCCCTGGCTCCCGCAAAGGACACCCAGCCTCAGGAGAGTCGCCATCTCGCTCCGCAGGGCTCAAGGTCATCCACCGACCCGGAAGTAGTTATACGTTTCCACGGCTGGACGACAAGGAAGCAGCGGCCGCTGTCGCCGGAAGTGGCGGGGCGGGACGATGGCCGCGCAGGCGCACGCGGGCTGGTCGGCAGATCCCGCCAGCGGTGCGGAGGATGGCTGAACTCGGGGAGGCGGACGAGGCGGAGCTGCAGCGCTTGGTGGCGGCGGAACAGCAGAAAGCTCAGTTCACGGCACAGGTGCGGGAAGGGCTGGCGAGCGGGGAGGAAGGGCAGGGTCCGGGCACGCGCACAGCCGTAACCCTCTCAGAAGAAACCAGTCTATGGGGGCGGGAGAGCAAGGGGGGGGGATGCCTGAGCCTGTGAAACTGTATCCTAAAGATTTTTCTAAATGAGGGTAAGACTTTAAAAAAGAAACGAGTCTACAGTGAAGCTCAGCGTCCGGAAGATCCAGGAGCGCGGTGTGGGTGGGCGTTCGGGGCATCCGGCCCCCGCCCTGCCTCGGCCCCTTTGCAGCCCACGCGCCCCTCAAGACGACAGCCATTCCCTGTGGGTTCTGGTTTGTCGGCGCCCATCACTGCCTCTCTGGGTTGTGAAGCTCCTAATGGAGCATAGCACCAAGACATTAATGAAGGAAGCTGGCTTTAAAATAAGGGCTTTGGAACTTGAGCCCTGGAGGTAAACCTAAGGGCCCGGAGGGGACCCTTAATGGCCGTGTGACCTTGGACGAAGTGCTTAGTCACGCCTCCTAAATGAAGCTGGTGATGGCCGTCTTAACCCCAAGCTCGGAATGGCTAGCTCTCTGTACCTGGTAAAATCCTCCCATTTGAGGGGGCCGCAGGGAGTGATACGTGAAGGATGAGCAAAAGTCTCTGGGTCGTGAAAGTCCGTTAAGTGCATGTAGTTTTTCTGCCTTTGGTGTATTTTTATGGGGAGGTGGGTCCATAACCTTCACCAGATTCTCGAATCCGCCGGAGTCCCCAGAAAGCTTAATAAGAACTACTCTTCTGTGGATGGGTGTAGGGATGTACGAGTGTAGTGGTTCAAGGGAATATATGGGTCTGGTCCTAGGCACTTTCAAGGTACTTGTAAATACGATTTAGGTCCTACCTCAGAATTTGCCGTTTGTGTGGAAATGAATATTTGGGCCTTATTGGTGACAAATGTGAACAGCAGGCTCAACAGGGCTCTCCGGTTTGTGGTTAGGAGGGTTTTGTCAGGTGATGGAGGGCTGTGAAAACCTACCTGCATCCTCCAGTGGCGGTTTTCTTTCTGCTTAGGTGCATCACTTCATGGAGCTTTGTTGGGATAAGTGTGTGGATAAGCCGGGGAATCGCCTGGACTCTCGCACTGAAAACTGTCTCTCTAGCTGCGTGGACCGCTTCATCGATACAACTCTTGCCATCACTGGTCGGTTTGCCCAAATTGTACAGAAAGGAGGGCAGTAGGCTATCCAGAGAGAATGACAGAAGCTGCAAGAGACTCCTTATTAAGCGGACTGAAAGACAGAAGGGAGAAGTTGCCTTCCCATTGGCAGGGCAGCCTCAGGCTGTTTCCAAGTCTGTTGGTGCTAAAAAGTTAACAAATCAAATGTGGAAAAACTGGTTTATTTATTTGGAATTAAATTCCAGGTTGTATCACATGCATTATTAAATAAATATCAATCCAACTTTTTTTTCCATCTCATTTTAGTGTTTAATATATGGAGAGATCTCTGGTTTGTAGGAACCACTAGAAACAAATATGTCCCAAGGCCAATAGTGCAAATAGGAAGCTAAATTTTTGCAAAACCACCCAGAGTTGTAGGTTAATGGTTTGAAGAACCATCAAAGCCCCACCTAAGGCACAGAGGAGAATTTGGGGTTGAGAACAGTGAAGAACAGAAAATAGCTTTATTGCTTATACATAACCAGAAAGTTAATTATGACCTCCCCTGCCCAGAATAAAAAAAAATTTTAAACAAAAACAGGAAAGATGTGTATTCCTTGGGAAGGAGATAAGCCTCTTGGAATGGCAGGGGAAAACCAAGACCCAAATAAAGCCAGCTTCATGGGGTTGCCTTGTTCTACTGGCCCACTGTCCCAAGTCCATGCTTAGAATCCGTATTCATAGAACACATATGAAATGCCAATTCATGGCTGAAAATTCCCAACAAAGTTTCTGTATGCTACAAGGAAACATTTGCTTTAGCTTCAGAGGTAGTAACTACTCTTCCCTTTTAGTTTGCCCACGAGTTCCAAAGATAAAATACATACCATGGGACATCAGTAACTGAGTATCAAAGTATATTTCAAATAAATATCCCAAAAGATAGCACCCATTCACAATCAGGGATAGGGCACATCTGGCCAACCATGTGTAAAACCAAGCACTTTATTAGAAATCTGTTTCATAAAGAACAAACGTGGTAGTGAGGACTATGAAATACCACTTCATGGAATGCTGTCGTAGTTGTATTCTATTGCTGGTGTTAAACAGTCATGCTAGCATGAAGTATCTATTTCGTTGGGGAAGTGAGGCCGGGGAGGATCACTTACCTGCACTGTAACTTAACAACTGATTACTGGCAGAACCAAGAACAAGAGACTGAGTTTGCAAGATTTTTACTCAGCCCATTAAGTGACAGCCAGAGATAAACAACAGTGAAGGTCACTTGATGTTTTCTCCCTTCACCAAGTTTCACGTGTGTTCTGCCAGCCTTCTCAGGGGTAGCCTGGTTTACGCACAGTAGGGGTCAACAGTACAGCAAGGGGAAATGATGTGGCCTCTGCTTGGTGCTTAAACTCTTAATGGCAGACTGGAAGAAATGGTAATGTCCCTGAGAAGCCTGTTTCCATTTTTAAAATGATTAACTTAGTTTCAGGGAAATCTTTAAAATCAGTAATAAAATTTAGAAATAAACAAGGAAGATAACATTCAAATGGCACTTGCTGCCCTGAATCCTGTTCAGGACAGCGTTAAGACAGATGTTCCTAATGCTTTCTCACTTTCTACAACTGAAGAAATAATCTCAAACACATCCATTTAAACATAGAGCAATGTAACTAGAAAACTACTTACCACCCAATTACCGTGTTTGGGGAGTGGGGTATATTAACTAGCTCTTGACCCCGTCCAGCAGGGAAATTTGGGAAAATCCTAGTCCCTTCTAGCAACAAGTCAATGAATGTTACCACAAAGAGAAAAGGTATGTTCCTAGGCCAGTTTCTTCATTAAATAAACTGGACCACAACTGTAGGGTCAAAACATAGAAGGATCAAAGCACCTAGCATGAAAACAGGTCAGCTGTGAAACCTGCTGTGTTCCCATCATTCTGTTCTATTCAGTGATGGCTCCAATCCACCTCCTGATCCCAGCCATTTGTTTCTCCAAATTCAACATTCTCATGTGTATACAGGCCATTATTAGGTTCAGCTTTCTATTAGTTTGGGATATATATTCTCTATACTATAGGTAATTAATCACCAAAAATAATCTCTTCAAGAAGCCTTCGTAACATAATACCAGATTCTCCACTAACAAGTGGGGATCAGGTTTAACAGGCTTAAATAGAAGACAAGAAGGCTGTCAGAACACATACAGATGGCACAAAACAGCTCTGACCCTCTGCAGTGAATGAGTCACTGGCAAAACCCCAAGGCATCCAGTGCTGTCAATCTCCAGTCACTTGAGAAACAATTTCTTTCCCATTTAGTCATCCTCTGAGCTCTCAGCAGACCTTTCATCTGTAGCCACTTTCCAATTTGTGCGTTTGTTTGTCCTCTGCTGTATTTCATTGTTAGCTACAGGAATATGGACTTTATCCCCCCTTTTCCTTTTGGTCTTCTTAGTGTCTCTTTCCTCACTCTCCTCAGAGCTGCTAGATGCTGAATCGTCTGACTGTGAAGTGTCATTTTCTGCTTCTATGATCGAAGCAGGTTTTTTGAGAGACTTTTTCCTGGATTTTTTCTTGCGCTTATGTGGTTGTTTCCGTTTCTTGGTACTAGAAGCTCCAGCGTCTGAGCACTCACTTGATGAATCTGCTGTTACATCTGTGGCTTCCTTTTTGCTTTTCTTCTGTTTTTTGTGTGACCGTTTTTTCTGCTTCTTTTTGTGGGATTTCTTCTTCTTGTGTTTGTGAGATTCATGAGTTGATGACTTTACTAGGGGAGAAGCTTTTTTCCCATTGGTAATATCTTGATGATCACTACTAATAAAAAATAAAAAGTGTGTTAGTCTTAGTATTCTGCATTTTAGATAGGAAGCTGGGGCTAACACCTGAAGTTTAAACCAAAATTGACATAGGTTTGCTGTGAGACCTATTATTCTCATGTTTGTGTTTCCTCATCTTTCACAATGAAAACAATCCTAATTTACCATACTGAGTTACTGTATGGAATAAACAATAATCCCCTTATCCAGTTTTCACTGTGATTTCAGTTAGCTGGGCTAACACGCAGTCGAAAAATACTAAGTGGAGAATTCCAGAAACAAAAGTTTTCAGTTACATGCCATTCTGAGTTGCATGAGGAGCTATCACACTGTCTGGCTCCAACCTACCCGGGACAAGAACAATTCCTTGGTCCAGTACATCTAGTGTATCTACCACCCACTCATTAAGTATTTTGTAGTCTTCCAAGTTATCTGTCTAGGTCTAGCAGTACACATATGCAAATAATGTTTATTTTACTTCATGGCAACAGGAATGTTGTTGATGACACACACCAAAGAAAAACTTTAAAGTTGTATCTTCAAGTGAAAAATAAAAATTAAAGACATATATGTCTAAGAAAACAATATACTAACATTCAGCACTCTCTACAGTCTCTGGTGTTCACTGGGAGGTCTTGGAAAGTAGCTCTCACAGACAAGGGGATAAAAACCTAAATGTGGGGCAAGTGTGTGCCAAGTGGCTAAGAAGCTGGGTTGGGAAGCCTAAAGCCTCCAAGTCAGGTTCCAATGCAGTTCCAGCTTCCGGCTAATGCACACCCTGGAAGTCAAGAGGTGATGGCTAAAGTAGTTGGAGCCTCACTTCAGCAACCTAGTCTAAGGGCCCAGCTCACAGCTTCAGCAACTCCCAGCCCAGGGCTATGTGGTCACTCGCAGGATGAAACCAACAGATGTCAGTTCTCCATCTGTCTCATCTTTGTCTCAAAAAATTAAAAAATGTTTACAGAGATGCCAAACACCCACCAGAGAAAAGAACAGGGATCACTCCCAAGTGAAGCACCTGCTATGACTCTAGTTCACATTGCAATGGCAAATGTTACATCCTCTCTCAAATTTAGAGAGCTCAACTTACAATACAGAGTGTACTAACTACAGTTTCTTCCTGTCTCTAAGCTCATATTCCTTACCTGTCTGTTTCAAATTCTTCAGGGTATAATTCTTTATAACCACTGTGACCCCATCTGTAAGATGACACATGACGTGTATTGTTAAAGCACATACACACTGTGGAAATTACTTTTTGGAATACAAGCATGCATACACACATCCTTAAGAACAACAAAAAAATACAGTGCAGAAAAACCAACATTAGGCACAGCTATTTTTCTGCACTGTGTGCTATCATTTCAGACACGAAAGGTTACTTTATTTAGCATTCTCTTTCTTAAGAATCACTGATTTTGCTCCTAAGTTATGAAGCACTCTTCTGAAAATACTTCAAAATGTAAAATTCACTCTTTTAAAGTATAATGCCTCATGCCCATAACAACCATTAACCTACTTTTTGTAGGATTGCTTATTCTGGATAATCATTCAGGATGTAGTCTTCAGTGTCTGGCTTCTTAGCTACATTTTAAGGTTCGTCCTACGTCCTAGGATGTGCATCACTACTTCAGTCCTTCTGCCACTTAATAATCGTTCACTGAAAAATTATCCCACATTTCGTTTAGCTATTCATCTGACATTTGGGATTCCACTTTTTGGCCATTATGAAAAATTTCTTCTTTATTATATCATGATACAGTTCACTAGGTTCCGGGATTTTTCTTCCCTACTCCCCAAATACACTTCCCGCACTGATTTCCCACATATTATAGCAATAGTGCAGTCCTTCATAAACAGTCATAAATCCATCATTCTGCTACCTAAGCTATCCCAACACTGTACGCATGGACAATGGCAGAGTCCAGCATCCTATTATCAAGATATATTTAATTTTCATTGAGAGTCCATTTTCGGTTTGGAAATAGACATACAGTATACTGCATTGTATCTTCACTTCTGGATATGACAGTCTCTACTGCACAATTACTATACATCCCCTTAAATGAAAAGGTATAAAAGAAAATCAATAGCAGGAAGAAAAATAAAAAATTTACAACAACATGAAGTTAAATAACATGCTACTGAATGACCAATGAGTCGAACAAATGAAGAAAATCAAAAACCTTAAAACACTGACCTATTAGTGAATAAGAAAAATACATTTTTGAAGAAATGAAAATAAAAACAAAAACATCAAAATCCATGAGATCCAACATAAACAGCACTAAAAGGGCCACTGATCCTGTATTTTGCGTGAAGGCTGGCTTATATCACACAGAACATATGATATTTGTCTTTTGGGGATTGATTTTGTTCACTGAGCCATTATGAAATATCTTGCAATGAATCCTTGTGTAAGTTTTTGTGAGGACACCTGATTTTTGACAAGTACACATTCTCAAAACAAGTATAATTAACAGTCATAGGAATTTAGTCACAAACCTGTCTGGCATGTTAGCTTCATAATCATATAACTTCTTGTTCCAGGATTTAGCCTTAAGAAAATCGTCCTCCAGTGTCCCAGAAATTTCATTCTTTGGCTTCCAGTACTCTCTATGACCTTCTTCATCAAAGCCATCACTACGCATCCGGCTGTAAGAGAAAGCAAATTTTAGACTTAAAAGCACCTTGGGAGGTAACTAAAGAACATCAAACATGGGACTAGAACAGTGGTGTGGCAGGCTAGCACCTGCTACCACCGGCATCCCACATGGGTGCCAGTTCATATCCCAGCTGCTCCACTTTCCATCTAGCTCTGCTTAACAGCTTTGGAAGGTAGCAGAGGATGGCTCAAGTACTTGGGTCCTTGCAGCCATGTGAAAAAAGTTCCTGCTGACAGCTTTGGATGAGCTCATCTCTACTGCTGGAGCTGCTTGGGGAGTGAACCAGCAAATGGAAGCCATTCTTCTGTCTGTAAAATCTGGTTTTCAAATAAAATACATCTTTTGACCACTTGGGAGACCCAGAAGATCCTAGCTTCTGGCTTTGGATCGGCTCAGCTCCGGCCACCGTAGCCATTTGGAGTGTAAACCAGCAGATGAAGATTTTTCTTTGTCCTTTCTGTAAATCTGCCTTTCCAATAAAAATAACATATCTTAAAAATAAGTAAATAAATAACTACAGGAAATAACATATCTTAAAAATAAGTAAATAAATAACTACAGGAACTATCTCTTCCTGCCTACATATCTGTGAAGTCCAGCGGCAGGAAGAATTTGATGATTCCTTCTCATCCTGTTGTAGACTACAGATGAAATCAGTTCTGGATTACATCGTGCTGTGACTGACTGCCCACTAGAAGACATAACACAATCACAATTGGGAACATGTCATCACCCTACGGATTCTGAAATATACTTCCCTTTGCTGCAAACCAAAAAATAGGTGCTTGAAGCAGAAATAAGGCCTAACCACTACGAACTGGACAGTAAGTCAGTTAACAAAATGTTTAAGGGCCTCCTACATGCCAGATACTGTTCCAACTAGTAAACAGAAGAACTACTGAGACAGTCAGAATGCCTATTCCTAAGAGACCATCCCTTCATACAAAAACATTTATGGTCCCAGTGCCGTAACCTAGTAGCTAAAAGTCCTTGCACGTGCCAGGAGCCCGTGTGGGTGCCGGTTCTAATCCCAGCGGCCCCACTTCCCATCCACTTCCTGCTTGTGGCCTAGGAAAGCGGTCGAGGACAGCCCAAAGCCTTGGGACTCTGCACCTGTGTGGGAGAACCAGAAGAGGCTCTAGGCTCCTGGCTTCAGATCAGCACATCTCCAGCCATTGAGGCCACTTGGGAATGAATCAATGAATGCTTCCTTTCTGTCTCTCCTATCTGTATATCTGATTTTCCAATAAAAATAAATCTTTAAATTTTTTTTCTTGGAAAGCCAAATTTAAAGAGGCGAGACAAAAAGATCTATTTGCTGGTTCACTCCCCAAGTGGCTGCAGCAGCCAGAGCTGAGCCAAAACCAGGAGCCAGCAGCAAGTAGCTTCTTCCAAGTTTCCCATGCAAGGTCCCAAGGCTTTGGACTGTCCTTGACCACTTTCCCAGGCCACAAGCAGGGAGCTGGATGGGAAGTGGAACAGCCAGAAATCAAACAAGCAGCCATATGTGATCCTGGCACACAAGGTAAAGGATTTTAGCCACTAGGCTACTGCACCAGGCCCAAAGATGGTCTTATGTCTTGGAGATTTGCTATTCCATTAATTTAAAACCATAATTACTGGGCCCGGCACGGTCACCCACTGATTAAATCCTTGCCTTGTACATGCCAGGATCCCATACGGGTACCAAATCTAATCCCGGCAGCTCCACTTCCCATCGAGCTCCCAGCTTGTGGCCTGGGAAAGCTCCTGGCTCCTGGCCAGGTACGAGACATACCTGTATAATCCTTCATATTCATACTCAAAATCACCAAGAAGGAAACATAAAAGCCTATCAACTGGACAAAGAGAATAAGTATATGGGTAAAGAAAGGCTGAAAAACAAAAAGGAAGAATTAAAGAATGACAGAGAAAAGAGTTGGGGTTAGTTAGGGTTGTAAGATTCTAGGGCATAGGGCACGGCGTGGTGGCCTAGCGGCTAAAGTCCTCGCCTTGAACATGCAGGAATCCCATACGGGGACTGGTTCTAATCCCGGAAGCTCCTCTTCCCATCCAGCTCCCTGCTTGTGGCCCGGGAAAGCAGTCAAGGACGGCCCAAAGCCTTGGGACCCTGCACGCGCATGGGAGACCCGGAAGAGGCTCCTGGCTTCGGATTGGTGCAGCACCTGCCCTTGTGGTCACTTGGGGAGTGAGTTATCGGACGAAGATGTTCCTCTCTGTCTCTCCTCCTCTCTGTATATCTGACTTTGCAATAAAAATACAACCAACCTTAAAAAAAAAAAAAGATTCCAAGGCATAACAGAAGACACAGAACCTGGGACATTTTCAACTGTTCAAGACAGAGTTTGTAAATTTTCCACTGTAAATCAGGTACAAGGAAGGAGGACATATGCACCATGACCATTATCTTTGTTTGGGTCTAGATGAATGGATCCAGAAAGGTTTAAGGACTCACAGAACTGAACTTTTCTATCCTTAACAAAAAAAAAAAAAAAAAAAAATATTTATTTTCACTTGAAAGGCAGATTTTAGAGAGAGGAGCGGTCTTTCATCTACATGTTCACCCCCGAAACAGCCGTAACAGCCAGAGTTGAAGTGACCCAAAGCCAGGACTAGGCACTTCCAGTTCTCCCGCACGGTGCAGGCCCGAAGGACTTACGCCACCTGCACTGCAGACAGCTGGTTCAGAAATGGAGCAGCCAGGACACTAACAAACACCTATATGGGATAATGGTTCCACAGAAAAATGACCTACTATGCCCCAACCAAAACATTTTTAAACAAAAGTGGATGATTCTGAAAAAAGATGAGCATTCTTTTGGTTCTCAGAGCTGCGACTTCACCTTGAACTGCTGGGTAGCATTTTCCTTTTGTTCCCCCGGTAAGCATCTTCCATCTGCTTCTCTAGTTCTCTTATTTTCCACATATCTGATTCCTCCTGAATCTACATTTTTAAAAAAAAAAGAAACAAAAGTCAATTATTAAAAACATTAATTACAGAAAAATAAGTGACTGAAAACACAACCTGGACTAATTATTAGGTCACAGAGTAGGCTACGGTTAGGGACAAAGAAAACAAATTATGACTTCTCTAGAAATGTTAAATAATCCAACACAGATAGAATACCACAGCAATGAAACTTTTTAACCCCTTCCTAGACACACTTGTCACCCTATTAACTTTGCAATTAGCAAATGATAATCCTACAGGTCTCTAAAACACAATGATTTTTAACTGTATCTCTTCAAATAAACCTTTAGCGATTTTAGAAGGCAAATAAAGAACCATTTCCAGGATTTTCCTGAGAAGAAAAAAAGTTCAGAGATTTTGCCAAAGTCAGAAAACTATTAACAGCTCCTTAAACCCTAGATGAAGTGTCTTTTCATATTATAGTTATTACTAAAACCAACTCAAAATAAATGATATGGCGGCTAGAGAATTTCCTGAAAAACATGCCCACTGCCCAGAAAACATTTTTTTTTCTGAGTTCTAGCTAGATTCATTTCTCAGCTACCATTTTCAATTCTAACCTTACCAGACAAGTAGGTGGCATGATAGTAATTATATTTATGATCAAACCAAGAGTATAGTTACTAGAGAAAACTAAATAAGGGGTCTTGCCTGCATTTCATTAAATATACTCTTCTGGGTGGCTGCATTTATTTTTATGACCTCTATTCTCTACCCACACAGCAATAATCTATGTCTAGCCCCAGTGTTTCTTCTTTGCTTCAACTCTGAAGTTGTAAGTCTCTTCTCCATCTCCTTACCACTGCTTCTGTTGCAAATCCACACTGAATTCCACCTGGAACACTATCATAGCCTCCTAATTAGTCTCCCTGCCTTTTCTCTTACCTATCTACTTGCCATCCAGTCAACAAATCTTTCTAAAATACAAATATTGGGGCTGCCGCCTGCAACATTAGCATGTACATAGCTCTGGTTTAAGTCTTGATTAGTTCACTTCCAACATAATTCCCTATTGATGTGCTTTGGAAATAGCAGAAGATGGCCCAAGTGTTTGGGCACCCGCCACTCACTTGGGAGACCAGAATGGAATTCCTGGCATCGGCCCGACCCAGCAGCATCGACTGCAGCCATTTGGGGAACAAATCAGAGGCTGGAAGATCTGTCTCCTCTAACTCTGCATATCGAATAGATAAATAAATCTTAAAAAATTAAAACACTTAGGACCAGCACCAACATTGTGGTGTGACAAATGTGCCTGCAGCACTGGTATCCCATATTGGTTCGTGTCTTGGTTGCTATACTTCCAATCCTGCTTATGTCCTGACAAAGCAATGGAAAATGGCCCAATGTCCTGGCACCCTGTCCCTATGTGGGAGACCCAGAGAAGACTCCTGGCTTCAGATCAGTTCAGCTCTGGTCATTATGGTTATTTGGGGAGTAAACCAGTGGACAGAAGACTGCCCTCTTGGTCTCTCCTCTCTCTATAAATCTGCCTTTCAAATAAAAGTAAATAAACCTTTAAAAACACAAATATGATCATGCCATAACCTGCTTATGAACATTTGACAAAAAGACAAGACTCCAAGCATCATCACCCTACTGTCCTTTACCTCCGAGGCCTTATCTCTTAATACTAAAACCTAACCCTCCTTACTTCCTAGATGTGCAGTATTTTCTAGCATGTCATTTTCTTTGTTGTTGCTCTACTTAGTGGTGCATGATGCCCTCTGCTTGGAAAGCTCCTGTAGATCTAATAAACTAACAGCCATCCTCGCACAACCAGTTCAAGCACCAGCCGCTCAGCTTGGGACAGGCATTTGGCATGCCTGGTTCAAGTGCTGACTCCTCTATTCTACTTTTTTTTTTTGAAGATTTATTTAATTAAAAAGCTGAGACACAACTTGGGAAGGACAAAGACAAGCCCTGGCTCTGGCTATTGCAGGCATTTGGGAAGGAAATGGCAGATGGAAGACTTGAGTGTGTGTGTGTATACTCATACACTTGTGCCTCTCTGTGTCTGTCAAACAGACAAAAATGTGAGAGAGAGAGGACATTCCCACCTACTAATTCGCTGTCCAACTACCCACAGCTGCTAGACCTGGGTCAGGCTGAAGCTGAGAGCCAGGAACACAATCAGGATCTGCCCGTGTGGGTACAGAATCCCAGGACCAAGAGCATCACCACTCCTCCCAGGATCTGCAGTGGCAGAAAACCAGAGCTAAGAGCTGGAGGTGGAAATTGAACCCAAGGGGGCCGGCCAGAACTGTGGTCCATAGGGTTAAGTCACTGCCTGCAATGTCAGTATCCTGTATGGACACGGTTTGAATCCCAGCTGCTCCAATTCCAACCCAGCTTCCTTCTAATGCACCTGGGAAGGCGGCAGACTATGGCCTAAGTCCTTGGGCCTCTGCACTCACATGAAGAGACCTGGATGAAGCTCCTGGCTTCAGCCTGGCCCAACCTCAGTAACATCTATGACCATCTGGGAAGTAAACCAGGGAGTGAAAGATCTATCTCTCCTGCTATCTCTCTGCAACTGTGCTTTTCAAATTAAAAAATCTTTAAAACAAAAAAAAAAAAGGAGGGGAAGGGAAGGAGAGGGGAGGGAGGAACGGGGAAGTGAGGGGATGGGAGGGAAAGGGCGAGAAGGGGAGGGGAGGGGATTGGGAAGGCAAGAAGGGAAGGAGAGAAAAGAAAGTGGAAAGGAGCGGGGGAGAGGAGAGGGGAGGAGAGGGGAGAGGAGAAGGGAGGAGAGGAAGGAGGAAGGAAGAAAGGAAACCCAGGTTTTTAAAGTGAGCTGTGGAAAGCTCAACAGTTAGGCTTCATGCTTGCTCCTTATGACACCATTTCTAAATTCCCAAACTAGATTTCTTTATTCCTTCTTCAGTACTATATAGTTCTTTGCAAATATCTCTACTACACAAAACTTATCCAGTTTTTGGTATCTATTTCAGTAAATAATAAACCGCCTCTTCCCTTTGGCCCCTCAGCTGCATCTACTGCAGGCCCGCAGGGGCGTTGGCCGTGTCTGGCTTGTAGCTCCTACCTTATTGTGAGCATCTGTGTGCCGGATGACATTCCTCAGGAGGACTTTTCCCAAGGGAACACGGGACATCCTTCAATCTGAAATGAAGCAGTAACAAGTCATAAGTGTTTTCTTTATGACATTTCATAAAGAAGCATGACATAAAGCAAAGCTCCCAAACCACAAATTAGAGGAATAGTTTTTCCCTTACCATTAAAAAGGAATGGGGATGACTGTAATGTGAGGATGAAGACAGTGGAAGTCTTTGAAACACAACAAGACTGCAAAAAAAACACTAAGCTATCATGAGCACCTTTTATTTAACCTTCACAATAATTATTTTATATTAGGCAAACAGGGCCATCCTCCAACATCTGTGAGAACTGGCTCTGGGACCGCACTATAGATACCAAGATCCTTGTTTGCTCAAGTCCTTTACTCAAGGGTTTTTCAAAAATAATTCATGGAAAATTGAATTAAAAGCTATGTCTATTTTAGTTAAAAAAAAAAAAAAAACTTGAGGAGGCCAGCACTGTGGCATAATTGGTAAAGCTGCTGGCTATGGTACCATCCTATTTGGATGCCAGTTAAAGTCCCAGCTGCTCCACTTTGGATCCAACTCTCCACTAATAGCCTGGAAAAGCAGCAAAAGACAGCTCAAGTCCTTCGGAGACTTGAAAAAGCTACTGGCTCCTGGCTCCGGGATAGAGGAAGCTCCTGACTTCAAACCAACCCCTGCTCTAGCCTTTGTGGCCATTTAGGGAATGAGCCACCAAATGAAAGATCTATCTAACACTGCCTGCTACACCTTGAATCCAAGATGCGAAACCCGGTTCCAATGGCAAAGTGGATTTCCATTCCCATTTTCTAGATAAAGGTCCCTTTAACCCATTACTTGTCTCTGCAAACCACTCCAAGTCCCTTGTTTAGTTGTCAATTCTGGAACCCCAAGGTTGGCCATGACGCAAACACTGGAACTGAGACCATGTCAGGCGCAAGCGGGATGCCTAAATGTCTCCACTGGGGCACCGCCAGTCCTGACTCGTACTTTTAAACTTTATACGGAAACTGGGTACCAAGAATATTCCCGTGTGTGGGTAGCAGGGATTTTGTGCAATCACCCCCACGCTCACTCACCCCTCGATCCCGAGGTAATCAGGCATCTTGTTAGTGTGAGACGAAGAACCACTCCATTACAAGCTCTCCTCCGACCCAGGGCAGCTTCACCTTCCCAGCGCTTAGGCCCAGGCCCAGGCTGCCTCTCCCCAGCCCTGCCCGAGACTGGAGGGCATTCCCCGCCGACGCTCCGCTGGCCCCGACACCGCCGGGGAGGGTTGGGTTGGACTGCCCAGGACAAGAATGGAGGACGTTGTGGACGGGCACGACCTTCCGTTGGGCCCCAGGAAGTGTCTACGGCGCCTGAAGGGGCCTTCGGGGTTTCCACGTAGAAGACAGAGCGGACACCCCCATCTCCGTCACCGGGAGCCCTGCCCCCCGGCGGCCTCGGGGCTCCCGGGAACTGTCCCTAGCAACTCCCGCCCCACATAAATACACACAAAAACACCCATACCGTGCGCCGCAGCCTCGCGTGGCCGGGGTTGGGGAGAGGAGCAGCTTGGGAGGAAAAGGAGGGGGAGCTTCCCGTTCAGGCCGGAAGCCGTGCGCCCGAGAAATTCATCCCACCCACGGGAGAGCCAGAGACTCCCGCTGGGAGGAATTTTCTGGAGAGTCTGAAGACGTTGCCCGGCGTAGCAGGAAAACAGGTTGCTTCTAAAGGCGACCAGTGAGTCCCGCTCAGCTTAAAAATCAAGCCCGACCCCAGAGGGCGACACTCCGGAACTACACTCCGGACTTTCTGCCTGGAGCTTTCCGGACGAAATTAATTGTTGTACCTAGTTTGGTTACCCGGGAAACAGATGTCGCGGTTTGGGAACTGAGTTGAAGAGGTGGGTTCGGGAACTTTGGGGATGATTGTCCGTTACTTAAATTTCCCATTTAGTCTAACCGCGATATAGTACTGGAAGTCTCTAAACCTTTTTTCCTCGTCCTCGCAGTAATCCTAGAGAATCAGGATTATTTTGATATGGGTGGAGGGGAGAGGGATGCAGCTGAGAGTCATACATATATATTAATTGCTCCAGGTCACACAGTTTGTGGGAGATAAAGCTGGGATTAGGAAATGCTAGGCCGTCTCGGACTCTTTGCTCTTAACTGTTAAGGGCGTCACACACACACACGCAACTTGAGACACCTTTCACCCGATACTTGGGTGTTGGAACAAGAACACCAGGAAACTGAACTACTTTATTAGTATGGATACTAATAAAGTATGACTATTTTATTTTCTGGGGGTTCTAGGGAAGGTAAGGCCTTATGTGAGAGGATAACTGGAGCGTTTAGGAAGGGGTTCTAACCACAGATAGAATAAGGAAAACATCTGGGGCATCCCATGTGAGCATCTGTTGGAGTCCCAGTTGTGAAAGGGCCCCCAATGCTTGAACCCCTGCCACCCGCGTGGGAGACCCAGGCTCCTGACTGGCCTGGCCCACATCTGGCCACTTGGGGCCTTTTAGAGAGTAAACCAACAGATGGAGGAGCTCTAATTGCCTTTCAAATAAAATAACACCGTTTAAAACATAAGGAAAATATGAACTGCTGATATACAATGATTTAAAATAACTGACAAATTCTTAACCTTTTCCCTCTCTTTGAAAAAAGGAAAATAATCGCATTACACAGACTTTGACCTTTAAATCATGTCTTTCTATAGGCTTGAAAGGCCTCTCTCACCATCAAGCAGCATGACATCATCCAAGGCTTTGGTCACCCAACTTAACCAATTCTGGAACCTTCTCGACGATCTTGCTGAAAGTGACCCTGAGCGTTACAATAAATTCATCCAGCAGGAGCTGAGGGAGGGACAGCAGCTGTTTGCCAGCCCAGAACCACAATTCTGTCTACAAACCAGGATTCTAGTACGTATAGTGCCAGGAAGGAAGGACTGGGTGAAGTGATCTTGGAACAGCTGGAAAATGACCTTATACATTAGCTATGGCTACTTAAAAAGAAGAGAGGGCACAGCACGATAGCCTAGCGGCTTAAGTTCTCACCTTGGACCCACTGAGATCCTAGGTGGATGCCAGTTCGTGTCCTGGCAGCCCACTTCCCATCCAGCTCCCTGCTTGTGGCCTGGGAAAGTGATCTAGGGCAGTGCAAAGCCTTGGGACCCTGTGCCCACATGGGAGACTTGAAAGAAGCTCCTGGTTTTGCATCGGCTCAGTTTCAGCCATTTACTCTAGGGGAGTAAATCAGAGGATGCAAGATCTTTCCACTGTCTCTCTTCCTCTATGTCTATCTAACTTTCCAATTAAAAAAAAAAAAAACTAAGAAAAAAAAGAGAGAAAGATTCATATTTGAAAGGCAGATTTTATAGGTGAGATTGATCTTCCATTCACTGGTTCGTTTCCCAAATGGCCACAATGGCTGGACTGATTTGAAACCAGGAGCTTCTTCCAGGTGAAGAAGCCCAAGGCTTCGGGCCCTCCTCTGATGTTTTCCCAGGCCATAAACAGGAAGCTGGATCAAAAGTGGAGCGTGTCCACATGGGATGCTGACACTGCAGGCAGAGGTTTAGCTTGCTATTTTACCATATCGGCCCAGCTGTGGCTACTTTACCACAAGGAAACTTCAGGGAGAACTTCTCTCCAAGTAGAAACACAATGTGGAAAAATTTGCTCAGGAGTAAATAGGAAATTCATTCATGACACACTTTGGAGATCTCAAAATCAGACACGTTTTCCTGCTAGAATAAAAAGCAAAAGTAATATTATTTACTAGAAGACCATGGAATTGATGCTTCTTCAGATAAAGTGATTATCGGGTTGGAAAGACAGAAATGGTGAAATAGGGTCAAATGCACCTGAAACAATTGCTTGGGTCAGTCCCTGTTTCCCAGCAGTTCCTTTGGGAGCAGCAATCAGACTTTTTGATGAAGAGTGAGTAGCTTTAAAGAAACAGGGTATCTGTATAATTTACCAATTTCAATACATGGACTAAAATTCCTCAAACACTCGGTTTTGAGATGTGCAAACTTATTTGCTTCCTAGAAACCGAAAGAAAAATCGCTTTTTATCAATCTATGTCAGTGGAAACGGATCCCAGCTCCCCAATCAACCACTCATCCAATACCACTAAGTCTCGGCAGACCAGAAGATGTCTTTGAAACCACAGGTACAACGAATTAACAGAGAAAAGGCACATTTCAAATACTTTATTGGAAATAAGCATGAACCAGATTTTACTTGGGACAAACATTTCAGGTATTTTATTTCATGGCAATATAATGACAAATCAGTGCACTTTATGCAAACTAATATTGTCCAATTTTTCCAATATTTTTAACCCATATAAAAATGTCAAGGAATACCTTACTAGACTTTATACAGCACCATTTTCATTGCCTCTGAAAAAATACAGAAATAGAATTTCTATTTCCAGCTCTCTCAGGAATATGGTTTAATGATTACCTGACAATATCATTAGTGCAATAAGTTGTTTTTATGTCAAACCCTCTGCATGCACAGATGCCTACACAGTCATCGATGTTGCCTGCAACCCTGAGGTTCTCCAGGCAGCAGGAAAAGACCACATGAAGAAAGACGAGTTAATAAAGATTACCATGCAGTGCATTGAGGAGCGGCTCCAGGTCACACTCTCACACTCATACCACATTGCCAACTTTAGAATAAAAGGAAGCATTCAACGAATGAAACAAAATTTGATGGGTATCCAAACTGACTCAAAAGATTTAACAGAGAAAAAAAGAATGGGTAAGTTGATGAATCCTTTACGTTTTACAAACTAAGTGTGGATTTTAAAGGTGAGAAATTTAGAACAGAAAAAGGTAAAAATCAGATATAAGAAATCTGAAAAGATTTTTAAAATCCTGCCTTTTCAGCCCAAAACTCTGGAGAGCGTTAGTTCCCAACCTAATTTAATTGTAGTTTTACCTGTTATCAAGAAATATATATTATAGCTGGTAATTTGAGAGTATCTTGTGATTTTTATCTCCCCCTTTTTTTCTGTGAAGGACATAATCTTGTACAGATAAGAAGCAGTACTGGCAGCAATCCAGATCACTTTCCTCAACTCTTACTGCCAAAAACACAAGTCTCAGGCAAAAAAGGATGTCTGATAGAAGAGATTTCTAGTACCGAAATCCAGGAGGCAATGACAGTACCAGCCTATGAACTAAAGATTGTGAAGGATGAGAGCGAGAAGCCTCTGAAGATTGAAGTGAAAGTGGAATTACCTGGTATTAACTCGGTCTCTCTCTGTGACCTCAGTGTTTCTGAGGTAAGTTGAGTAGATAATGTACTGGCCTTATGGTATATCCAGGGAATTGTCTCCAAGAGCCTCCATGGATACAAACATCCTCAGATGCTCAAGCCATTTATATAGGATGATACACTTCTGCTATCCATTTTGTTAAGAATGTCATACATGCAGAGGAAATTTTTTTTCAAGATTTTTTTTAATTGGAAAGCCAAACATACAGAGAAGAGAGACAGAGAGGAAGATCTGCCATCTGTTGATTCATTCCCCCAAGTGGCCACAATGGCTGGAGCTGGGCTGATCCAAAGCCAGGAGCCTGGAGCCTCTTCCGGGTCTACTCTATGGGTACAGGGTCCCAAGGGTTTAGACCATCCTTGACTGCCTTCCCTGGCCACAAGCAGGGAGCTGGATGGGAAGTAGGGTGGCTGGGACATGAACTGGCATCCATATGGGATCCTGGCAGGGGCAAGATGAAGACTTAAGCCACTAGGCTACCATGCTGGGCCCACTTCTAGTATACTTTAAATTATCCCTAGATCCCTGTAATGCCTAATGCAATATAAGCACTATGTAAATAGTTGTTACACTATGTTGTTTAGAGAATCATGAGGGAGACAAAAGGGCATTTATATCAGTACAGATGGAACTGCATTCTCAGTCTAAAGTTAGCTGAATCTATGGATACTGAACTTAGAGATCTGATTTGGCGGGGGGTTGGGGGGGACTACCATACTGTACAGTTGTAGAAGTTAACATTTACTGTGTTAGGCTGTAGCAACAAATTTCAGAACTTCAGGACCCTGCGATAACTTTCTCAGGTTACACAGCAGCTAGCCTCTGCTTTTTAAGTCTCATACATTTCAAGATCCAGGTGAAGGAGAAGCTCTCATTACAACAGAGTGAGAACAGGAACAGTTAAACCATGCAATAAACCCTTTAACTGCAATTTCAACTATGACATGCATCACTTCCGCTCACATTCCACTGGCCAAAGTTAGTTATAAGATAAAACCCTAGACCTGCAGGACTGGGAGAGGAGCAGGCATTGTGACACAGAAGGTCAGGCCTACGTGTGCAGCACCAGTCACCTATATTTGAATTGCTGGTTCAAGTCCTGCCTGTTCAGACCTGGTCCTCTGGCTGCTGCAGCCATGGGAGATGTGAAGCAGCACATGGGGCTAACTCTCCCCATCTGTTACTCTGCATTTCA